AAATTTTTTTGGTATAAATTTAGCAGGTTGTTAGATTCAGACATTCCTGAGCATTTGACTACAGGATGATGAGCAGACAATTATAAACAGGAAGTGGTCGTCTACAGACATCAGCTCGAGTTCTCCTCTGTGTGGCTGGATCTGTTTGTACCGAGTCACTCTCACTCGATGATTCTGAGCTGTTGTGTAGGGAGGGTGAAATCTGTAGCCACACTCTGATTAGATTAACATTAAAACGCGGAACAAATTACGTAATCTTCAAAAGACTTCTCTTTAAAGAGAGGTGAAATACGAATCAATCTTACTGGATTTCAGGGATAAAAAATAACATTGTTCTGAACAATTGAGTAGAGTAAGGAAATGTTTTCCCTCAGGCAGCTGTAGAGAAAATCTCCCCGACAGGATGGGTTTGTTTATAGGGAGACTGGAATGGATGAAATTAAGAATAACAATCAAAGGTTTTACTGCAGTGGTTAGGCATTGGAGCTTTAGTTTGTTGATCAACTTTTCAGTTTTCCAATGCATTGAGTCTGACTCCAGCCCTACACAATGTTAGATAATTGACCTCATCTTGTAGCTCTGCTGCCGGGACAAGCAAATTAAATCAGAAGGGGGGTGGGCTATTTCTGTCCAAGTATTTATTATTTAATGAAGGTTTTTTTTTTAAATCCCTAAGTTATGTTAAATTTCTTTTAAGATTAATTTTAAAAACATAATGAAATCGATTATAATGAAATTTTCAGACTTGATTTTAAACATACCTTAATTCTTATAATGTAAAAAAAAAATCAGAGACGGTAAACCAAAAAAAAAAAAAAAGCAAAATTACCACACCAATGACCCCATACCCCCACCCCCCTGTCCCCCAAAAGTGTCATAAATTAAAAATGGGAGATAGCACCTAAGAAAAAGTGTGGATTAAAGTTAAAGTGTGCTAGTAATAAAAAAAATTAAAAAGAGGCCCAGGGGCCACATCGCTCACCTGAGCAATTGGCAAGGAAAAAACACAGATCAGATCAGAACTGAAAGTAAACTGGGGGGGGGGGGGGGGCTTGAATTTTACATCCCCCAGGGGTCATGATTTGAACAAACTTGAATCTACACTACCTGAGGATGATGCCCTATAAATATAACGAAGCCTGGCTTTGAAGTACTTGAAAAGAAGATTTTAAAAGGTTTCCCAGCGTTCCTATGTAAAACTTTGATCCGCCATTTTGGCCCCACCCTACCCCCGGGGGTCATGATTTGAACAAACTTGAATCTACACTACCTGAGGATGATTCCACATGCCTTTCATCTTTCCTGGCCCAGTGGTACCTAAGAAGATTTTAATTTAAAGATTTTTCCTATATATTCCTATGTAAAACTTTGATCGGCCATTTCGGCCCCATCCGACCCCCGGGGTCATGATTTGAACAAACTTGAATCTACACTACCTGAGGATGATTCCACATGCCTTTCATCTTTCCTGGCCCAGTGATACCTAAGAAGATTTTAATTTAAAGATTTTTAGGTCACCTGAGTAAAACTCATGTGACCTATTGCTATCCGTTTAAGTCCATCATCGTCCGTCGTGTGTCGTGTGTTAACATTTAAACATTTTCAGCTTCTTCTCTGCAACCACTGAACCAATTTCAACCAAATTTGGCACAAAGCATCTATGGGTGAAGGGGAACAAAAATTGTGAATTTCATGATCCCTGCCCCCCTGGGCCTGAAGGGTGGGGCCAAAACCACTAAAATTAATGCAATCTTTAAAAATCTTCTTCTTTACTTCTGGACATCAAGCAGTCAAACTATTTGCATGATTGTAATCAGCATTGAGTCCTCTACCAAAATTGTGAAATTCATGGCCCTGGGGTCAGGGGTTCTAGTGCTAGGGCAGGGCTAAATAAGTATATAGTGAAAATGCATTATTTCTTTGAAAATCTTCTTCTCTGCTCCTGGGTATTAAATAAACCAACTAAGTAAATAGTTATGATGAGCAAGAGTGCCTCTACCATCCTGGCTTAGGATTGGAGTTCCTTAAAATTGATTGTTCAATTTATTCAACTGTCTTGATTCATGTTTTATATCTAAAATAAATTTAAAAATAATATTCTAAATATTAATTTGATATATCGCATACCTTACATCACAATAAAGTTACTGATTTAAATAACATCAAAGCATTACCTTGTGTTTTCATGCCCATTTGAACACATTTGGCAAATCGACAACAGGGACATTTCTTTCGGTTTCCTCGACTTATCTCACAGTCCCCGTTTCGATGACAAGTAAATGATTTATTGTTTTGAACAGTTCTTTTGAAGAAACCTTTACAACTTTCACAAGTAAAAATCCCATAATGATAACCTGCAAAAAAGGAAAGAAAAAAAAAAATACTTACTTTCAAAACATTGTTAAAATATATACAGAATTCCTTCATCCAGAGTTTTAGCCTTTAAGAATTATTAAAAAGAGAAAAACAACAGTTGAAATTCACAACTCTTATATAGTCGTGACCATCGACTGCAGTTGATGCGTCAGTTGACAATAAATGGTTTTCTTTGGGTTGTCAATTTCAACTGTTACCCTCCAAATCAGGCACCAGTTATATAATACCAACCTGAAACAGCATCTCCACACACAGGACATGGCTGATAGCTATCATTAGACATGCTGTTGTCATCACTCTGAGACATGGCGGTCTCTGGAATACAGGACATGTCCACCTCCTGATGTATACTGCCTTGGCTAGACAGGTCTCCCCCAGAAGATATTGTTGTAGGAAACTGTACAAGAGTCTCACCAGGGTTTGATGAGACAGTTTCAGAGATCAAATTATCGGTGTTGGTCCTTACAAAGTAGGTCTGACCTGCTGATTCTATCATCAAAGTTCCCGGGTCAGACATGACTTCTTCTTGCGTTTGAGATATCGTTACATTTTCTGGCAATCTTAGCTCAGCACCACTGGAACCTTTACTTGCCATGGATAAAGTTTTTGCTTGTTGCATGGCAAGAGTCGTTAAAACATTGACCATGGCTTCCTGGTTACTACCAAGGGTCCCAACTAAACTGTCCTCACCTTGTCCATCTGGTTTTGGGACATTTTGTTGTATTTTCCATTTTAACATGTTTTTAATGTCTCCAGGACTGATATATTGAGAGGAATGACCTGTTTCTTCTTCTGTTTCCGAGGCTTTTTGCATACCCTGTAAAATGTTCACAATACGAGCACTTGCTTCATCCTCCCCAATGTCATTTTTACTTTCTTCAGAGAGCGATGAATTCCTTGCTTCGAGAATCTCCTGCTTGATTTTTATTCGTGGGTGCATGTTTAATGAGAGGTTTTGTTTTGATGACTGATTTCCAGTTTCTTTTGAAGTGAGAGTCTGCGATATTGCTTGCAGAAGGGCTGGAGAAATACTCACATCAGATAGTGAATTCATTCCTGAAATCAATGAAAAAATCTTTATGCACTGAAATTAAATTTTAAAAAATACTACAGGTTATATTTTACGACTTGTTATCACATGAATTCAAGAAAAGCAGCTTTATAACGGTGCAGTTCTGATATTATTTCAGTTTCACTGCAAATGACACAATAATGACTGTGAAAAAGTGGTTTTACAAAAACTGAGATCTTTCCACACACATTGTTTAACATGACTTGGTCAGGGGTAACTGACCATCCGATCTGGCCTAACAGCATTTGCCTACAGTCGAAGAGAATCTAAACTTTGGTTTCTCATTTTCTGGCAAGAAAATTTTTGTAAACATATTGTCATTTCACTTCCACGTGTTTCTATTACATAAAATACCATAAAGTTCACTCACTGGAAAATTTTGATGTTACAAACGATTGAACTCAGGAAAGAGAAAGTCTTATGACTATCTTGCAACATGGACTTGCATTTTGAGAAGAATCGCGTCGTTTCGGCCATGACCTTGTAATGGGTGGCGTCCTTCACCAAACGAAAACGATGGAGGTGCGCAGAGTCTCTGATGTCCGCGGCTATATGTATAAGTTAAATTAAAGACGGCAAAGCTCAGGGCTGATAAAATAATATTCCTTGGCAAAAAGTTATCCAAATTTCCATGCACATATAAAAGTAAAATGGCGGCCAACAATGGATTGTCACGACAAATACCATTGGTTAGAGGCTATTTTCCGCGAAGCGTGTCTTTGAATAAGAGTTGTCGCTCTTTATACACGCAAATGAAAGTACTGAAAGCACTTGCAGCTTATTTTTTAAAACAAAGATTTGAAGTTAATATCTTCTCAAATGTTCTGTATAACATCATGAATTACATGTATATATTGCTATAACATTTCACACGGGAATATAATATAAAAAAAACTCATTTCATCTAGAAATTATTGAAACTACGAATTTAGGGACGCGTTTGATTGTCATTCTTGCACTTTCACAAAGTAAATTTTATCCTAAAATATTATTTTCATCATTTATTCCTAGCGCTCTGATTGGCTCAGACTTGATCACATGATTAAGTATATAACAGCATAAAGACTTGAGTTACTATTCATAGAATCTGAAATGCATAAATTATCGACTTGAAGTTTCTTGAAATGGAGATAATTTCTGTAAAACAAAATAGTACTGATTTCAATCATAGCTAATAATTGTATGATTTGATGTTTCTAGAAAAAAAATATTTATTTCAACTTCTACTAATTTTTTTTCAATTTTCTGTATTTGATGAGACGAAACAATGCATTGAATAAGGATCTACTTCATATTAAAACATATTGGATATGTGTGTCAAATATTGATACAAAACATAATCAAATAAATGAAGTATTTTGAATAAGTAAATCCTCTAAATTACTCCATCAATATAAAGAAACACATGTACATTAAACAGCATAATTTATTTTGATCTCTAGTCTCTAAGTGTTAAAGAGAGAAAACTTTTTCCCATTATTTTCATAATTTGTTTTGTCAATCTATGTAAAAAATAATATAACAAATGTAGCCCTTTAATTCGGTCAATCCATAGATATATCGACTTCACAGAAAAGCATGTCGATATATCTATGGATAGACCTCATCAAAGGGCTATATTTATACGTCTAAATTACGCCTTACGAATCCTCTCTTTATTCTTCCGAGTTCAGTGTTTCTCGTTCAAAGTTTATAATGTCGGTATTTTCACAGCTGGCAGGCTATAATTTCTACTATTATAATATATTCATGATTCTTACAACGTTTGCTTGTATCATCGTTTCGGTTTTAGAAGGCCGATCACATTCATATTAATATTTAAAGTAAACAAACTGGAAACATTTGTAATTTTAGAGCTACTGTCTCATCAGAAACTTCCATTTTCTGATGACAAATTAGATGATGTTACTTGTGAACTTGTTCTCATGTTCTCATTGACATAAATTGTTAATTATATAAATAAATATTATGGTATTCATTTTTTCAACAAAAAAAGTAAGCAAGAAAAATATTACTTGGAAGTTCAAAATTCGAGAAATAATGTATCATTTCAGAATTTCCAGAGAGCACCTGTTTGAAGCTGAGATTACCGTGGGTGGATCCAAGGAATTGACTGGGGGTGAATCCCAGGATTTTACAGGGAGTGGATCTGGGGTTTTGTACTTCTGGTCCTTAGACAATCGTCAGTCTCCTGCTAGCACTGTTAACTGGGTAGTGTGTTAATTAACAGTTATATGAATATGACTAAAGGCATTCATTGATTCTGTTATTTAAAGCAATATTATAAAAAGTGGTACAAGGGAGCTAACTTGTACAACTTGTGGATAAGTGAATATGGCATGCTGCAATGACAGTGTAAAAATGATTCAAACTTTAAAAATTAGTTCATAGAGTTTATCTACTCAGTGTTATATGCATAGGAAGAGCAGTTAATGATCTGTATTTTAAGATTTTGTTGTAAATACTGACTTGACAGGTTATTGACTTTACAGGTTATTGAGGAAATTGACCGGCCTGGTACAAGTGTACTAACAGTGGGTGCTCAGAATGACCTTGGAGATAAGTTACTTGCTGTACAGGAGGTGAAGATCCAATACCCTCTCCTTGATGTGACCTTGACCTCCAACCCTACAGTGGAGGGGCGTGTCTGTGACATCACGGTCCAGGTGACAGGAAGTCGGGACGTCGTGTTTGACGTGGATTTTGGTGACGGAGTTCAGGCTTCGTTATCCTCTGATGATGTCGTTGTTACCATAGATACCACCTCTAGCTCATATCTACCTAAATACACCACCTTCCTACAACACCAGTACAATCTGAAAGGTCAGTACCAGGTCAAGGTCAATGTGTCTAATGCCATCTCCTGGGTGACGGGTGATGTCACGGTGATGGTAGGGGAGGCTGTCGGGGATGTTACCCTGGAGATCCTGTCCCCCCACAGGGAGCTGCCCGGGGTCTACGTTGTGTCCCTCAGTGATCCACTGACTGTCCGAGTGACCGCTGGCAGGGGAGATAACCTTACCTTCACCTGGGACTTCTCCGAGTATTCTGACGGAGGCACCAAGGACCAGCTAGGGTAATAATGAGTAGTATTATAAGTATCAGGAAAATTAAAAATAGTAAATTGTAATCACTGTGCATACTGAAAGAAAATTTGAATTTATTACCAAATAGGAAAATTTTTGCACAGAGTTAAGTTCAATGTACTATAGATATATATAAAGATCATTTTTCACTTCATACAGTGTAGGTTCTGTAATAAAGATTTAATTTCTGTAAGTAATTGGATTGACTATTTACATGATTTTTGTCTGCCACACAAATTTGTATATTCCTTTATTAATTTTCTTGATCACAGAAAACCTTTGCTAAAAAAAAGATAGACTGAAAGTAGGTTTTTTATTTCATACAAATGTAGAATTTCTGTGTATGTATCACCGGTCTTGTTGTAACACAGGAATGGTAGTTCCAGCACGGCGACCTACGCCTTCAGTATGACGGACATTTTCCCAGTGTCTATCAGTATCAGCAGTCCCTACTACCAGGTCCCCCAGGTCTTCCCATTCAAACACAAGTTCAAGGTCGTCCAGGAAATCCAGGGAGTTTATCTGGAGGTTGTGGGGTCGGGGAAGACAGGAGCCGCCCTCAAACGTGTGAACGGAGCATTACAAACGGAGGAGATACATTTCCTAGCCAGGTAAACTAATGTGTGTAAAGATTACAGTGGAAAGAAGGGATACACTTCCTAGCCAGGTAAATAAAGTGTGTGAAGATTACACGGGAAAGGGGGGGATACATTTCTTAGCCAGGTAAACTTATGTGTGTAGAGATTACACGGGAAAGGGGGGATACATTTCCTAGCCAGGTAAACTTATGTGTGTAAAGATGACAGGGGAATGGAGGTGGGAGGGTACATTTCTAGAAGGTAAATTTTAGTGTGTAAAGATGACAGGGGAATTGAGGGGGGGTACATTTCTAGAAGGTAAATTTTAGTATGTAAAGATGACAGGGGAATGGAGGGGGGGGGGTACATTTCTAGAAGGTAAATTTTAGTGTGTAAAGATGACAGGGGAATGGAGGGGGGGGGTACATTTCTAGAAGGTAAATTTTAGTGTGTAAAGATGACAGGGGAATGGAGGGGGGGGGTACATTTCTAGAAGGTAAACTTTAGTGTGTAAAGATGACAGGGGAATGGAGGGGGGGGTACATTTCTAGAAGGTAAATTTTAGTGTGTAAAGATGACAGGGGAATGGAGGGGGGTACATTTCTAGAAGGTAAATTTTAGTGTATAAAGATGACAGGGGAATGGAGGGGGGGGTACATTTCTAGAAGGTAAATTTTAGTGTGTAAAGATGACAGGGGAATGGAGGGTACATTTCTAGAAGGTAAACTTTAGTGTGTAAAGATGACAGGGGAATGGAGGGGGGGGGTACATTTCTAGAAGGTAAATTTTAGTGTGTAAAGATGACAGGGGAATTGAGGGGGGGTACATTTCTAGAAGGTAAATTTTAGTGTGTAAAGATGACGGGAATGGAAGGGGGGTACATTTCTAGAAGGTAAATTTTAGTGTATAAAGATGACAGGGGAATTGGGGGGGGGGGTACATTTCTAGAAGGTAAATTTTAGTGTGTAAAGATGACAGGGGAATGGAGGGTACATTTCTAGAAGGTAAATTTTAGTGTGTAAAGATGACAGGGGAATGGAGGTGGGGGTACATTTCTAGAAGGTAAATTTTAGTGTGTAAAGATGACAGGGGAATGGAGGGGTGGGGGGTACATTTCTAGAAGGTAAATTTTAGTGTGTAAAGATGACAGGGGAATGGAGGGGGGGTACATTTCTAGAAGGTAAATTTTAGTGTGTAAAGATGACAGGGGAATGGAGGGGGGGGGTACATTTATAGAAGGTAAACTTTAGTGTTTAAAGATGACAGGGGAATGGTGTGGGGGGTACATTTCTAGAAGGTAAATTTTAGTGTGTAAAGATGACAGGGGAATGGAGGGGGGGGTACATTTCTAGAAGGTAAATTTTAGTGTCTAAAGATGACAGGGGAATGGAGGGGGTGCATTTCTAGAAGGTAAATTTTAGTGTGTAAAGATGACAGGGGAATGGAGGGGGGTACATTTCTAGAAGGCAAATTTTAGTGTGTAAAGATGACAGGGGAATGGAGGGGGGGGGTACATTTCTAGAAGGTAAACTTTAGTGTGTAAAGATGACAGGGGAATGGAGGGGGGGGTACATTTCTAGAAGGTAAACTTTAGTGTGTAAAGATGACAGGGGAATGGAGGGGGGGGGGTAAATTTCTAGAAGGTAAATTTTAGTGTTTAAAGATGACAGGGGAATGGAGGGGGGGACATTTCTAGAAGGTAAATTTTAGTGTGTAAAGATGACAGGGGAATGGAGGGGGGGGTACATTTCTAGAAGGTAAACTTTAGTGTGTAAAGATGACAGGGGAATGGAGGGGGGTACATCTAGAAGGTAAATTTAAGTGTAAAGATGACAGGGGAATGGAGGGGGGGGTACATTTTAGAAGGTAAACTTTAGTGTGTAAAGATGACAGGGGAATGGAGGGGGGTACATTTCTAGAAGGTAAACTTTAGTGTGTAAAGATGACAGGGGAATGGAGGGGGGGTACATTTCTAGAAGGTAAATTTTAGTGTGTAAAGATGACAGGGGAATGGAGGGGGGTACATTTCTAGAAGGTAAATTTTAGTGTGTAAAGATGACAGGGGAATGGAGGGGGGGTACATTTCTAGAAGGTAAATTTTAGTGTGTAAAGATGACAGTGGAATTGAGGGGGGGGGGTACATTTCTAGAAGGTAAATTTTAGTGTGTAAAGATGACAGGGGAATTGAGGGGGGGGGGGTACATTTCTAGAAGGTAAATTTTAGTGTGTAAAGATGACAGGGGAATGGAGGGGGGTACATTTCTAGAAGGTAAATTTTAGTGTGTAAAGATGACAGTGGAATTGAGCGGGGGTACATTTCTAGAAGGTAAATTTTAGTGTGTAAAGATGACAGGGGAATGGATGGGGGGGGGTACATTTCTAGAAGGTAAATTTTAGTGTGTAAAGATGACAGGGGAATGGGGGGGGGGATATTACCAGGTGAGCATTTAGCAAGGTAGACTAGAGTTAAAAGTTATTATATAAGAGAGTAGATTCAACAAAAATACATTTTTCTTCACAGTAAGTGAAGTACATTACAATGAGACTTGAAGTGTGTCTTCACAACTTGCCCCAAATTAGAAATTGTTACCAGCAAGTACATTAAAGTCAAATGATGTTATTCTTGAGGAAGTCATTCAAATACAACAATTTTTACATTTTCTCATTGACGTAAGTCATATAGTATCCTAATTATAATAAAATTATGTCAATTCTGTAAATAAGAATTGTGAAAATTACATGTAAATAAGCAGGCCTAAATGATGACGATTTAATCTTCCTAAAAAAAACAAACAAAGATAAGTGAATTTAAACTGTTTTATTAATCAAATGAAATATAATCATGAAATGAAGAATCTATAAAGGTCACTTTTAATGCATCCCGTAGCTGACTGCCTAATACAGGTTTGACTGTAATTATGATAAGCTATGGTGCCTCTTTCATTTTATTATAGACTAGTTATTAGCTTTATAATACATGTAATAAAACAGACAGAAAAGAGAATATGAAATCAGAAGAGGATATGTAAATGAGAAATCTCTCTCAGGTGAACTCCTATAAATACCATCTGACATTTAATTAATAAAGGGAATCCATTGGTAAACTCTGTATTCTCATTTCTGTAGCTGTTTGTATGTTGTGGTGTTGTTCTTCTCTGAGAGATTGTTGGTATGAGTATAGAGCTGACTGGAGGTTCCCTGTCACCTGTTGACAGATCCCCAGAATCTGCCACGATATGTCTCTGAGGAGTAAAGGTATATACTGTCCTTGATCATAGTGAACGAGGGTCTGTAGATCATCTAGAGCTGTTTGTGCTCGCATTGTGTCTACATGTCTGTAGCACAAGATCTCTAGCATGTATAACAGGATAAAAGGTGGTACAGGTAATAAAAACCAGCGCTTCTGTAGAGCTGACTGTTGTTCTGGTATCAGTTCACTGATGAATGATATTGTCAAGATTTACAATTCTTGCTAAAACCTGTCTAATCTTTGTCGACCAGGACTGTCCCTACAGCCTCAGTGTACCTCTCTGTATCTACTATTATCTATATTCATCACATATGGCTGTGCTAACTTGACCTTGATCATCTCTATGATAGATAAACTTTCTGTGTATTTACATGTCTTGTAATAATACATGGCTATGTACCACATGTCTGTAATACAACCAAACTTGGCTGCCAATTTCAGCATTTGACTGGAGGATTCAGCTAACCTCATTTGTTCTTATCAGATGTGTAAGTTTCCATGTGTGGTGTCAAAAGCGTTTGCTGAAAAGAGGCCTTTAGTGGTCATGTCTGGAGCATGATGACTTGATACTGTGTCAGGAGGGGTGAACCTATCATCTGTTCTATTGTATGTAGACATCTAATGCAGCTTTGTATGTCCAATTTGCTAAGTCTTAAGCAATGACGTTGTATTTCATCAAATACATTTATATCAAACCCAACCTCAGAAATCAGAGTATGATCATCTGTACATATGGAGTTTCTGGGGTTATAGAGGGCATCTATAATATAAGATCTAATGAAGGGACTGTGTAGCAGGAATGCTATACCCTTCTTATACAACTCTGACAGTCTTATAAATAACTGATATTGTTTGACACCATGAATTTTAGTTAGAAACATGTTGTTGCCTGGAATCTAAAAAGTTAGGACAGACCCCCTCATACACCCATTTCAGGATGAGTTTAAAACAGACCCAGAAACCCCCCAGGAGATTTTGTGGACACCAGTTACGCATTGTATTTTGTTGAATCACCCAGAAAACTGCTGTCTTCATGTGATAGGAACACAGTAATTTATCATCATCACCTACTCCATTGTTAATTATTTTTGTTAAGATCAATTTAAGCAAGCCATAAGTTAAGAACTGACAGTGATTCATTGCATACACAAGTTTTTGTTCTGCTCGGGAGAAAGAAATTCTCCATTCATGATCTTCATGATTTCCTAGCTTATGTCCTATTGCTACAAAGTGACATCCATTTTTCACAATATCATGAACAACATGAGGCGGGGGCCATGAGTGACATCTGTCTATCCATGGGGAGGCAGAGGGAGGCCAAAAGTCACTAACAAAACAGATGGCATGATCATATTCATGTGTTCCATATGTTCCACTGGCACAGGGTCCATGTGGAGTGGGGTTATAAGGTTGTTGCTGAGATAAAGAGATCTGTCTGAAATTAGAACTCAGATATATAATATCTGTTATTCACTCTAACACACGCTCTCAGGATTTCACTATTCACTCTGGGTGTCAGTAAATATAACAAAGTGAATCCTGGTGGACTATCAGAACTGTCACAGAGGAACAGTGTTTGTCTGTGTGTGTTGTAATACTGAGACTGAGATAACTCCCAAATCACACGGTGATCATCTGGCCACCACATCGTGTCTATATCTGATCCTTTCAGTCTGAATCCTTCTCCGTAACTTCCACTAACCATTTTACTCATATTATCTCTTGTTGTCACCTGATTTATCACCATCTCCAAGATATCCAGCACATCTCTCCTCATGGCCACCATT